TCCCAGCCACGGCCGCGGCCGCAGCCGCAGCGACCGCAGCCGCGGCCGCGGCCGGGAAAAGGAAACCACCGCGAAAAACATCGCGATAGTTTCCCCCTCCCAGCCACGGCCGCAGCCGCAGCCCCGACCGCAGCCGCGGCCGCGGCGGGGAGGAGAAAACCACCGCGAAAAATTCGGCGATAGTTTACCCCAGCACGCCGGCAGACGCAGCCCTCGGGCGCAGCCGGCGGCCGCGGCCGGGGCGGAAAACCACCGCGAAAAATTCACGATAGTTTCCCCCCCCAGCCACGGCCGCAGCCGCAGCCGCGACCGCAGCCGCGGCCGCGGCTGGGAAGAGGAAACCACCGCGAAAGTTTCACGATAGTTTCCCCCTCCCAGCCACCGCTGCAGCCGCAGCCTCGACCGCAGCCGCGGCCGCGGCCGGGAAGACAAGGACACCGCGAAAAATTCGCGATAGTTTCCCCCTCCCAGCCACGGCCGCAGCCGCAGCCGCGACCGCAGCCGCGGCCGCGGCCGAGACAAGAAAACCACCACGAAAAATTCGCGATAGCTTCCCCCTCGCCGCGGCCGCAGCCGCAGCCCCGACCGCGGCCGCGGCCGCGGCCGAGAGAAGAAAACCACCGCGAAAAATTCGCGATAGTTTCCCCCTCCCAGCCACGGCCGCAGCCGCAGCCCCGACCGCGGCCGCGGCCGCGGCCGGGAGAAGAAAACCACCGCGAAAAATTCGCGATAGTTCCCCCCTCCGTGCCACGGCCGCAGCCGCAGCCCCGGCCGCAGCCGGCGGCCGCGGCTGGAAGAAGAAAACCACCGCGAAAAATTCGCGATAGTTTCCCCCTCCCAGCGCAGCCCCGACTGCAGCCGCGGCCGGGAGAAAAAAACACCGCGATAAATTCGCGATAGTTTCCCCGTCCCAGCCACGGCCGCAGCCGCAGCCCCGACCGCCGCCGCGGCCGCAGCCGGGAGAAGAAAGCCACCGCGAAAAATCGATAGTTCCCCCCCCCAGCGGCGGCCGCAGCTGCAGCCCCGACCGCAGCCGCGGCGGCGACTGGAAAAGGAAAACCACCGCGAAAAATTCGCGATAATGTCCCCCCTTCCAGGCGCGGCAGCAACCACTGCCGCAGCCGCCGCCGCCACCGCGAAAAATTCAACTACGCCACACAATACACTTTCTTCGTTGTTGTCCCTTTCTCCTCCATCCCCAATACCGCTGAGTGCGATCAGCGGTCGCCAGTACTTCTGACCGACTCAGTCCTCCATTCCGGTTCTAGAGACCGGCCAGGAGGTTGGCTCTGGCGGCTGCGAACCCTCAACAAGCCAGACATCACCAGAAAATAATCTCATCGGCCCCAGCACTAAAGTGGGCACCGAATCCTAGACTACTTCCAGCAACCGCTTGCCTCAGGAACGACTTACTTCCCGCTCTGGCCCTGGCGTCTTTAGGGACTCTCGCGCCATATGGTCTTTCTTGGCATTCAGCCCTATGACCATGTGACTATGTCCCAGGGGCGACGTGAGGCCCCAGCAGTAGTGGCAACTGCCCGTACCACCAGTTTGGACGACTGGCCGCGCCGCCGGTTCTTGGGTCCGGTCTCCCGCCAGTGCTTGGGATGGTCGCCCGCCAGTTCTTGGGATGGTCGCCCCTTCGGAATTTGGGTCCGGTGCCCGCCAGTTCTTGGGATGGTCGCCCGCCAGTTATCGGGTTGGTCGCCCATGGATTGGGATTTCTCCCCTCACGTGTGTGCCGAGCAGTTTCATGACATGCTCAGGTCGGAAATAAAAACAAATTTTTACACAGGCGCAGGTCCACACAGCCGCGGCCACGGCTACGGCCACGGCCACGGCCACGGCCACGGCCACGGCCACGGCCACGGCCACGGCCACGGCCACGGCCACGGCCACGGCCACGGCCACGGCCACGGCCACGGCCACGGCCACGATCACGGCCACGGCCACGGCCACGGCACGGCCACGGCCACGGCCATGGCCACGGCCACGGCCACGGCCACGGCCACGGCCTTGGCCACGGCCACGGCCACGGCCACGACCACGGCCATGGAAACAACCACGGCACGGCGACGGCGACGGCGACGGCCACGGCCACGAAAAACGGCCACGGCCACGGCCACGGCCACAGCCACGGCCACGACAAGGCCACGGCCACGGCCACGGCCACGGCCATCCACGACCACAGCCACGCCCAGAGCCACGGCCAGCCAAGGGGGCGGTGACGCGGACCGCGAGGACGGCGGCGGCGGCGAACGCGGGGGAGGGCGGCGGGGCGAGGCCGGGAGCGCGGCGCGGCGCGCGGCAGTGCCAGCGCGCAGCTCGTGGCAGAGCTCTTGCGCGGCGGTGGGGCCGTCCCTCCTCTGAGTCGGCGGCGAGCGAGTTGCCGCCGTGGTCCCCGCCACAGCTCAGGAGGGAAAGAAACACACAGACACAATGAATCGTCGATTCCCAGAAGATATGGGGAAATATGGCAGGTGGGGAAGATGAGCACCCCCAAACATATGGCAAAATATGGGGGATGTTTTTATTTGTGTGTATTTATTTGCGTGTCCCAGGGCTCCTTCAACAGCGCCACCGCTCCTCGGAGGCAGATAAAGTTTCGATTCCGCGACCCTTCCCTTGGTGCACGATCTTTGGGCCTCCTGGAAGGCCCTCGTCGCGGGCAGCGGTTAGCGCGCCTGCCATCTCAGAGTCCTCGGCTCAGATCGTGATCGGTGCCAGTTGCAACTTGTTGGGTGCCGTGATTTCTCGTTGGTTGGCATTCTGGATTCCATGATTTGGAGTTTGGTCTTTCACGCAATGGCGAGGCATGCCATGTTCTCGCAGGCCCACCAAAGAGAATGTTCCAAGAACCCTTCGTGCTTTGCACGAGATGTTGTTTGAACATTGCTGGCTGAGACCGTCCTGTTGTCACGCGCCGGCTTTAGGTCAGACTTATCGTGATTTTGTTGATTCGTGTATCCTAGGGTACTAGGGAAACAGCGTGGTAGGCCTGGAGGAATGTCGGGACGGTCGGTGCCTGCTCAAGGTCCTGTGGTCCGCCGCTGTCGGTGCCGTCACCCCCGCCCGCCGCGAGGAGCGCGCCCTCCCCAAAGCGCGGGCTCGGCGCACCCCGCGACCGCGGTGTGTTCGAGGGCGCCCTGGCGGCGCTGCTGCTGCTGGCCCGGTCGGAGGGCCCCGGGCTGGTGCCGCCAGCGCGCGTCGTCGCTGCCCAGATGCTCTCGCGTCGTGAAGACGGTTTGGGGTATTTTTTGGCAGTTTTCGATGGTGTTGGGGGAAATTTTCGGACCCTGGGAGCCCTTACCGGGCCCCGGGACCGTCGAAAAGTGGCTCGAGACGAACAGCTGGCCTTTGGGGAAAGGTCGGGGGCTTCGTGGGGGGCCCGTGTTGAGAAAATGGAGGCATCGCCAAGGGCGCCCTCGAGGGCGCGAATTTATTCCCGCTTCGCGCTTCGCGGTTCGGCTCCGATTCCTCCTCATCCTCTTCTCCTCCCCTGGGAGGCGGCGCGAGAGCGCGAAGTTATTCGCGCTTCGCGCAGCGCGAAGCGCGGAGTTGGGAGCCCTTGCATCGCATGTCGTCCGGGGCGACGCGTTTGTGTCAGAGTTCTCCCGAGGCCCTCGTGCGGCGCGCGGGCGCCACGCGGGCGTGCAGGCGGCGTACGGGCGCGCGGGCGCCTGGGCAGCGCGCTCGCGCCCGGGCGGCGCTCAGGCGCGCACGGTCGGGGCGATGCGCAGGCGCGCGGGCGCGCAGGCGTGGCGCGCGCAGGAGCACGCCCGCGGCTGGATTCGCCTTGAAATCCTATCCAGAACGGACCGCTGGACAGGTCTGTGAGTAGACTGAGCGGTCCAGGACTGAGCGGAGTGGGTTGTAGAGTAGAACAGATCTGACTAGAGCAGGAGTAGAGAAGTAGGAGCAAGGTAGAGTAGAATACACTATGTCAGGGTGCGGTAGGGTAGAGTACGGTAGAAGTGTATGGCAGAGTGGAGCAAATTAGAGTGGAGGAGTGCAGAGTAGAGTAGCAAAGCAGTAGGGTAGAGCAGAGTAAAAGCAAAGCTGAGTAGAGTACAGTCTGTTAGGGTATGGTAGGGCAGAGGAGAATAGCGTAGAGTAGAGTCGGCAGAGTCGAGTACAGTAGAGTCGAGTCGAGCAGGGTAGAGGAGCGTCGAGTAGAGTAGGGTATAGCAGCGTAGAATACAGCGGGGCCGCACGAGGATATTGAGAGAGCTAGAGCGAGCCCTATTGGCATTCTACCAGAGCCAGCGCCTGGCGCGGGCTTCGGCGACATGTGCGCCGCCGTTGCCGCTGGCGTCGTCGTCGTCATCGTCGTCGACGTCGTCGCCGTCAGCAGCGTCTGCAGCGCCGTCGTCGTAGTCGTCGTCGCCGTCGTCGTCGCTGCCACAGTCGCCGTCACCGTCGCCGTCGCTGTCGCCGTCGCCGTCGCCTTCGCCTTCGCCTTCGTCGTCGCCGTCGCCGTCGCCGTATTCATCGTGGCGGTTGTCGTCGTGGCCGCCGCTGCAGCCGCCGCCGCCGCCGTCGTTGTCGTCGTCGTCGCTGTTGTCGTGAAGGGGGGGCTGTGGACCCCCACAACGATTTCGGGAGAGGGAGGCGGACGGCCCAGTAATTTACCCTGCGGAGGGGTGTGTGCCATCGAGCCACCCAACGAGGTTCCAGGGAAGGGGGAGGGTCCGGATCCCGCCCATTAATTTTCCGGGAGGGGGGGAACTCTGGATCTCCTGTTTTTTTTTGTGGGGGAAGAGGGCCCCCCTGGCTTCTGACCCCCCTCTTACAGAAAATTTTCAGGCCAGCCACGGTGGATCGCGCTCCCTCCGAGTTCGAGAGCTCAGATTCATCACGTTTGCACGCATTTGCGGCGTTCGGAGCACGGATCCGATGGTTTTTACTAGGGGTCGTGGCCTCGGCAGCATGGACACATAGCTCTTGCACACGGGATAGTGACCTTGCCATCGCATGTCAATCGTTCTTCATGTGGGATGGAGGTCTCGGGAGGTTGATCCATTGTTTTTTACGACGAAAAGAGGGGCCGCTGCATGCGAGAGAGTGGTGAGAAGGGGGGAGGCCTTTCGGCATCGCCGGACACCCACTGGTATTCGTACACTCCCCATCGTGCCAGACGCCACGATGGCGGATTAGTATGTTTGATGGATGACTGCATACGCTTCTAGGTTTGAGGCGTCCTGAAACCTAAGCGTGATACACATATGTATACATGTACTTACATACATGGCACTGCACTTCGATGAGTATTAGTATCTTACTTGTTGTGTATACATACACGCAAACATAATCTGGATGTCTTTGTATCGGCTATTGATATTCTCCCTCCCCTCACCTCACTCTGCTTCCACCTCCAACTTATCACCCTCATCCTCCCCCCCTCATCCCCACCTCCTCTCTCCTCTAACTCCGACCCCTGTAACTCCGCCTCCTTCGCTTCCTCATTATCCGCTTTCTCTTCCCCACCCCCACCGCATCTTCATCCTGATATTCCTTCTGCTTGTCCCCTTTCCGCGTCGCGCAGGTGCCGTTCCTGCACGTGGTGATCCCGCCCATCGGGAAGCTGGGCGGGCGGGCGGTCAGGGTCTGGCTCCTTTCGGGAGAAGGCGGAGCTTGAGGGATAGGAGGAGGACGTCGAGGACGAGGAAGGAGGAGCGGGAGATTCAGAATCAGAAGCAGTAGAGGCCGGGAGGGAGACGGGGAGTAGCAGGTCGAGGTCGATGACGAGGTGAAAGGACGAGGACGAGGACGACGCGTGTTGAGACGGTCACGGCGGGGACGTGGATGGTGAAGGAATGCAGCGATGTTGCCGAAACCACGTTCCTTTCAGGGGCCTCCAGCAGGAGGAGGGAGAGACGGACGGAAGGAGGAAGGAGGCAGGAGGAGGTCTTGAGGGACCTGGATTTAGATGAGCATATTCAGGAAGGGCCAGGAGCAGAGAAGGACCGCCTCGGATACACCAAGTGCTGGTTCTCCAGTCCCGATGGAGAGTTGCCGATCCCGTTCCAGAATGTTGAACCCAAGTGGTCGGTTGTACATGGAAGGGCGTCCTCGATGTTGGTTCCATTTGCATCGAGGGCTCAGGTTTCAGCCATAAGTTCAGTACCTCTGCGCGCGCAGGTCATGCAGCAGCAGGGGTAGACCAAGGGAGAACAGGCAGGCTCGGAGCGTCTCATACGTCTCGGAGCTAGACAGACTACCATTTTGAGTCGACCCATCAGGGCAAATGCTGTGATTCTAGAGCTAGTCCCAGACCCGTCAGGTCACAAGCTTGCACGGGCAGGCACAGTTTGATGTGCGTCAGGTGTTGGGACAGGGGTAAGTCCAACGCATGGGTGTGCATGATTCGTTGCACAAGGATCCCAAAATTTGCCCGCACCTTCCACCTTTCCCATACCTTATGGCTGGGGGTTGAGGATGTGGTCTGGTGTATCAAGTGCGGAGCGTTCGGAAGTGTGAGATTCCAACGTAAGCACCAGTGTGACATATTCTGGCCTTGCTGTATCCAGGCACGGACCCATCGTCGCAGCAATTTGTTGGTCAGAGCTTCTTTGTCAGCCAGCTTATGGCTCCACTTCTGGCTGCAGCTCCGCCGTCTCCACCGAGCCCGCCGAGCTCGTCGTAACTTAAACTCGTTCTCTCGTTTTGCTTTCTCTGCGGGAGTTTGCATTACGTTTGTATGTCCGTTGTTTTTACAGTTTGTGACGTTATCCTTAATGCCGAAGGATGCCGAAGGATGCCGAAGGATGCCGAAGGAGGAAAAGGAGGAAGGGGATAAGGAGGAAGGGGGGAAGAGGGGGGCAGGAGAAGGGGGAGGAGGAGGAGGAGTAGGAGGAGGAGGAGGAGGAGGAGGAGGAGGAGGAGGAGGGGGAGGGAGAGGAGGAGGAGGAGGGAGAGGATGAGAAGGAGGGAGAGGAGGAGGAGGAGGAGGAGGAGGAGGAGGAGGAGGAGGAGGGGGAGGAGGAGGAGGAGGAGGAGGAGGAGGTGGAGGAGGAGGGGGAGGAGGAGGAGGGGGAGGGGGAGAATGGGAAGGTCCTCCACGCTCCCCTTCCTCCCTTCCTGCCCGCCCAACCGGCTTGCGGGGGTTGCAGTGCTGGCCAGGAAGCGGCTGCTCCTCCGGGGGCACCGGGAGCCCACCCTGGACGTCCTCAGGTCAGGCGCAACGATAGGGGGGGATAGGCATAGAGGGGATGTGTCGACCTCGATTGGTTGATACATCCTCGATGCATCGTTGAAATCAGGGCGATGTATGGACGATGCGTCGGTCGGTCTGCATCGACGATACATGGGCGATGTATCGACCAGTCTGGTTCGGTGCATTCCCTGCCTATTCCGATCCACCTTATCGTTGCCCCTTCTCAGGGAGTTGGCGTCCGTGTGCGGCCCCGGGGCGGAGGCGGTCATGCGCTCGCGCGGCGTTGTACTTTAGGCGGCGCTGGCAGGGGGGGGGTCCCTGAGATCTGGTCGTTGCATTTTTTTGTACCAGGCGGTTTCTCCGCGTTTCGGGCAACCCAGCCATCGCAGGTCAATGTGGCTCGAGGGGTGCCGCAGAAAAGCTGGGCCTAGGGCTCCAGTCGTGTTTTTTTTGTCCGCGATGTCGTATTCTTGGTTTGCAGCGTCGGATTTCTAGGATTTGGGTCAGATGGGGAAAGTACGCCGATGCCACTTCCCTTGCCTTGTCGCCACGGCTGGATTCGCCCCGAAATCTTGGTCAGAACGCTGCCCAGAAAAGGTCCGTGGAGCATTGCGATGGGTATCTTCTCGTTTCCCCATCGGTGGGGTCAGCAGGAGAACGAGAACGGCAACAAGGGGAGAAGATGAGGCGGAGGGAGGGAATACCGAGGGGAGGAGGAGGAGGAAGAGAGTGAGGTGGAGGAGGGGGAGGAGGAGGAGGAGTACGACGAAACAATACATATACTAATAATCTGAATGAGAAGATGAGGGGTATTGATGAGATAAAAGAGGCGGAGGAGGAGGAGGAGGAGGAGGACGAGGAGGAGGAGGTGGCCCCGAGACGGAGTCGTCCGTGCGCTTCCGTGGCAGTGCAGTGTGGACCGCGCTGCGAAGAGAGCGGAGGTGTCAGAGGAGTAACAAGCTGACGAGGAGGGGGAGGGGGGTGGGGGGAGGGGACTGAGGGAGGAGGGGAGGAGGGAGGGAGGAGGGATGAGGAGGAGGAGGAGGAGTAGGAGGAGGAGGAGGAGGAGGGGCGAGGGTCGAGGGTCGAGGGTTGAGGAGTAGGAGGAGGAGGAGGAAGATCGAGGGAGGAGGAGGAGGAGGAGGAGGAGGAGGAGGAGGAGGAGGAGGAGGAGGGAAGAGACCCGAGGGGGAGGGCTGATGGGGGAGTAGACCAGAGAGGGGCAACGGGGCAGGCCGAGTGGGGCAGGAGGAGGGGGGAGAGTCGAGGCATTCTTTGGCGAGAGGCAGTCGTGTGCTCCCGCGGCGTGGCGCGTGCCTGGGGCAGGGGGGGGGGGGGGGCGGAGCCTCCTCCCGAGTGTCCTCGCGGGGCAAGCTTCCAGGTGGGCCTGGCCTGCCGCAGCTTTCCCAGCGGCGCGGTCCACCTCGCACGCCGTTCCCCGACCGGGGATCGAGGATCGAGGATGGAGGAGCAGCGTCGAGGGGCGAGGGTCGAGGAGGAGGAGGATCGAGGGTCGAGGAGGAGGAGGACGAGGAGGACGAGGAGGGTCGAGGGTCGAGGGTCGAGGAGGAGGAGGAAGATCGAGGGTCGAGGAGGAGGAGGTGGAGGAGGGTCGAGGAGGAGGAGGAGGAGGAGGAGGAGGAGGGGCGAGGAGGGGCGAGGGCCGAGACAGAGGAGGATCGAGGGGGATCGATGGGGCATCGAGGGTCGAGGAGCCGGGCCCGTGCACGGGCGCCGGACACCTTGCCGGCCTGGCCGCGAGGCCAGCCGTGGCGCGCCTTGCCTGCCCAGACCTCGCACGGGTGTGCGAATGGACTCGGCGTAGGGGTGGCCTTTCGCCGGAGGGACCTTTGGTGCGGGCACGGGTGGGCCCCCAGATTCGGGGCTGGACAGACCTCCTACCCTGACACGTCGATTAGTGAATTGGCTGTTTTCGGTTCGCGGGAGGGCGTCGTGGCCGTCATTTTTGCAGGTCCAGGTCCATCGGTTTCGGTCCCAGGCCGTGTTCACTAAGGGGAGGTCTACTAAAGGGAGGTTTGTCCAGCGCCGACAGATGGCTGAAAGAGAAGCGGTAGCAGCGGCTTGCGAGCTTGCTTTTGGCCCCCCCGCGGTCCCAAAACGCCGTGCAGCCGACAGAGGCACGACGACCGCTGAAGTCCGTCGTTTTCGTTCGGGGGAAGGGCTCGCATCTCGCTCCTGAAACCGAAATCTGGTGCGAACCCCTGGGGACCGACGTGGCGGCAAAGCTGCAACGCCGCGGACAGGAATATCGAGACCTGCCCGGTGCGCAGCGCCCTCTCGGGGGGGGGTGGGAGGGTTGCGCAGTGCCCCGCGGGATTTCAGTTTCAGGGGTGAGGGCTGGCAAATCCGTGGCTGCTAAAACGGTCTGCCCGGAAACAGAAGCAACAGGTTCCCGAAACAGTGCTCAGCGCGCTAAGTAGTCAACGGGCTGCTTCCCAGAAGAAAGAGAACAATTTCCCAGAGCTCCGTTTTAGCAGCCACGGGTTTGCCAGTCTTCGCCTGGCTTATGATGTTTGTCAGCGCGCGTATCCGAACGCGCGCATGCGGGTTTCCTCCTGCCACGCCTCTTTCTGCATCGTCTTCGTCCTCGTCAGCGTGCTTCCCCTCTCCCTCTCATCCTGTCCTCGTCCTTCTCCAGGGCCTCATGGTTTCCTCATCCTCTCCTCCCTCTCTGCCTTGCCATCCTCTCCGTTTGTGTCCCATTCCCCCTCCCTCTCCTCGCGTTCCCACCATCGTCCTCTCCCGCCCCTTCCCTTTCCTGTCCCCTCCTGTCACCGTCCTTGTCTCCCATGTTTTTCCTCTTCCTTTCCGCCTTCTCATTATTTCTCCTCCTTCCTCCGTCAGTCCTACACCACTCTCACTCTTCCTTGAGTCCTCCTCGTCCCTAGCATGCCTTATAGTAACATCTCCTCCTTGTTCCGCTTTATAAACTCCTCATCTTGACCATCTTGTGTTCACGGCTTGCTCTATATCCACTTCTCTTTCTCTCTCTCTCTCTCTCTGCTTTGTGGTATTATCTTTCTCGTTATATATAGATATATTTATCCACGGATGTATCTCTCTTACTCCCCCCTCGTTCCCTCGCATTCCTTCGTTGGCTCTCTCTCTCTCTCTCATTCTCTCTCTCTCTCTCTCTCCGTCTCTCTCTCTCTCTCTGTTTTTCTCTCTCTCTCTCTCTCGCTCTCTTCCGTTGTCGTTCCCTCTCTCTCTATCTCTCTATCTCTATGCTTCACACTTCCCGTGTCCAGAGTTTTCTCCGTTTCGTCCTCCTGCCCCGCGCTCAGTCCTATATGTGTGTCCCTTCACATCGTCCTCATCCTCATTTTCTCTCTCCACATCCTTTTACCTCGTCTCTCCAGCCTCGTCATCCTCGTCCCCATGCGTTCCATCTGCATGCATACGTAAATACTTGCAAGTATAAAGCCAGTCACAGTATCATATGTTTCACCGTCGTCGAGTTTTCTTCTCCCCTCCTCCTCCTCTTCCTTTCCTTATCCCCTCTCCTCTCCCTGTCCTTCCCTCTCGCTCACAGGTGCTTCTTGCCCCCCACCTCGCCTTATCCTCAGTATTCTCATGCTTCCCCACCCTCGTCACAGGCCTTCGACCCCTCGGGTTCGAAGTGCCGATCCCACAATGCTTTGGGTGGACTTGTCTCGTGATCTCCGCTTCAGCTTTTCGGTCCCCTTTCCCAGTGTGCGCGGGATGTGCCAGGAGCAGCGGCGGCCTTGCTGAAGCACTGCATGCACTGAGCGGCCGCAAACGGGCTGCGAATAGTCATTATGCTGCACTTCGCGCTGTCCGAGCATGCTGTGCTGAAGCGATGGGGGGTGGCGGCGTGCGGCAGCGGGGGAGATCGAGGACGTGGGGCAGAACAGGCGCGTACATGCATACACACACATACATATATAGAGAGAGAGATACACGTACACATATATGTATATATGGTCCAGGGCTTGGGCACCCCCCCCTCCCCCCCAATGCTGATGCCATTGGGCCCCCCCTCCCGCGCGATGGTCCCCCCCGCCCCCCCTGTGGGCGTGGCGTGGTGCTGCGCTGCGGTGCCCCCCTCCCCCCCCTGTGGATGTGGTGTGGTGCTGTGGTGGTTCAGAGGTGGGCGTGGCGTGGTGCTGCGCTGCGGTGCCCCCCTCCCCCCCCTTGTGGATGTGGTGTGGTGCTGTGGTGGTTCAGAGGTCGTCGTCCTCGTCCTCGTCCTCGTCCTCGTCATCCTCGTCGTCGTCGTCGTCGTCGTCGTCGTCGTTATCGTCGTCGTCGCCGTCGTCATCGTCGTCATCGTCGTCATCGTCGTCGTCGCCGCCGCCGCCGGCGTCGTCGCCGCCGCAGCCGTCGTCGTCGTCGTGGTCGTCGTCGTCGTCGTCGCCGTCGTCGTAGTCGTCGCCGTCGTCGTCGTCGTCGTCTCTGGGACCATACCATCTGGGGGGGGGGGGGCCGAGGAATCCTGGGACCATACCATCTGGGGGGGGAGGGGGGGGGCCCGTGGGCCCGGAGCCCGGGATCATGTGTATATATATATATAGTTTTCTCGCAGTCTCGAGCTTCCAACGCTCCACGACGGCCGAGGACGCCCCCCCCCGAAGCAAGACCGCCGAAAAGGCCTCAAGGAGAGCCCCGAGACGGCCCCGGAGAGCCTGAAGATTGGCCAAGAGCAGCCCCAAGGCCCAAGACTGCCCAAGAGAATCCCAGGAGAGGCACAAGACGGGCCCCAGAGCGGGAGCGAGAGGCCCCAAGGCGCTCCAGGACGGCTCAGATGATCCCGACGTGGTCCAAGAGGAGCTCAAGACGGCAATCACACAGACCAAGAGGCCTCCAAGAGGGCCCAAGAGAGCTCCGAGAGACGTTCCGAGAGAGCCTAAAGAGGCCCAAATCATTGACGTGCACTGGTTTGTTCGATATTTTTCGCTTTCTCGCTTCTCGAGCGGCCGAAGACGCCCCCAAGACCGCCCCAAGACCGCCGAAGACGCCCCCCAAAGAGCCCCAAGGCGGCTCCAGAGAGCCTGCAAATTACCCACGAGGGGCCCTAGACGGCCCAAGAGGCCCCAGGACAGGCCCAAGATGGGCCACAGAGCAGTAGCAGGAGGCCCCAGGGCGTTCGAAGACGGCCCAGATGGCCCAGGCCTCCCCCCTCCGTCCCTCCTTCTCTCCTGCCCCCTCCCATTGCCTCCATTCCCTCCTCTCTCCTTTTCCTCTCCTCACCCCTCAGCTTTCGTGTTCCTTCCTCCTCTTTTGGGACGGCCCCGCCAGAGCGCCAGACAGGCCCCGCCAGACCGAGCGTGGCATCGCTATACCTATAATTTCACGGGCGGACCCGGCCGAGCGAGCGGGGTGTGGCTATACTATAAAATGTGTCAGGTTTCGTGCCCCCCGTCACCTCCTGAAAGGCCTTGCCAGAACGCCAAGAAGGTACCGCCAGAGGCCCCGTCAGAGCTCCAGGCAGCCCCATACGTGGGACTTGCCAGGCAATTGAGCTCCCCCCGAGAGCCCGAACACTCTGCTCCCACGGGTGCGATTATCGCCAGCATGAGGTCTGGCGCCCAGCACAAAGAAGCTTCCCCACTCCCGTGGGCGGACTCGACAACAGCTGCTTGCAGAGAAGGGCTTTGATGACGGGGACATTTGCGCGCGCCCTCTGCAGATACCCGACACCTGGACGACTGCAGAAAACGAGAAGCCTGGAGCACAAGGAAGAGGAAACAAACAAACAAACAAAACGCGTCCCCACGCGCGCGCAACGAGGCCCCGAACCAACCCCAACATCAGGAGCTGGCGGATGTCTGGGTGATCTTGCATGGGGGGGCCGGGCGGATGTGCAAAAACATGGTTGTCACGACGGGGCAGAGCGGAAATTAAATTGGATAACAGAAAGTCATTTCGATGAACCAAAACAGAGGCGGCAACGATATTGTGAGATACGCGGGAACGTGGCGCCCCGCGTTATGATGTCGCGTTTCTTTGCGTCGATGACATGGGTTCGGGAAAGCTGGGAATCGTTTGTGTGGCCACAGTGGGGCTTACAGCGGCACGTGTGGCTCATATACGGCTAGGACCTAAGCGCGCGTGTAGCGCGCGTGATATATATATATATATATATACACACACGTTGTCACACGCGCGCGACGTGTTTCATGTATGTTGCTCACGTACGTAGATATGCAGTTTGATCATATAAACATGTATATGTGCAGAGAGAGAGAGAGAAAGATATACAGACAAAGAGAGAGAGGGGGAGACAGAGACATATATATATATATATACATAATGCAATCATGCATATCATGATCTATACTTGTACGTGCTCATACATACATAAAGAAAGCGGAGCACAACAAATACATACTCAAATACAGCAAGGGAAAGAGATAACACAACACAGAGAGCATGATTAAGAACATGAAATTGTGAAAACAATGAATAGAGGCGAAGGAGGGGGTCATCCGTTGTATCCCTGGCGGTCCTCTCGTTTTCCTTGTGCACCCGTTGTTTTCTCCTCTCCCCTGCCCGGGCCTTGCTGCTGTTTCTCTTTTCCCTCTACCCCAGCCCGCAACAGCCTCCCCATCGGAGCTCGATGGTCGATTCGGCGTCCGCCGTACGCCCGGACCCCCCAACGTTTTGAAGACCCCTTGGATCCTTCAGGAGGCTTCCCGTCGCCACGGCTGGATATGTTCCGAATGCGCCGCTTGAGATCCTTCAGCTCAGCGCTCTGGCCCCTGAGCGTCTCCATGGCGCATGGCGACTGGGGAGGCGAGGATTGCTGAACCAATGGATCTCGGCATGCCAGGACACCGAAACCCATCAGTTCTGCAATCCTCGCCTCCCCAGTCGCCATGGAGACGCTCAGGGGCCAGATCGCTGAACTGAAGGATCTCAGGGGGTGTATCCGAAGAACGAGTCCAGATGCACCATTGGAGGTGTCCCGGGACCGATTTGGGCCGGGTTGGGGTTTCGGGGCCGGCAAAGATGGGGGTGATGACTTAGGGGGGGGGGAGATCATGGCGGGGGCCATGATGTTTCCTCCGACTTCGTGGCGCCTCTTCTCATCTCAGCCCTCTTCATCACAGCCCTCACGGCGCCATCAGCGCCCCCTCTGGCGGGGAGGGGGGGTCCATCGTCGACCGATCAAACATGATGCGCGGACCTCCAAGAGAAAGTTATGTTCGTGGCGTTTCTCGCCGTTCCGTTGCAGAGTTGGGCAGGACTAAGTATGTATGATCTTCGATTATGTGTCCCAACGCCTGCACGCAGCGTCGATCGATTCGACCACGCACTCCCACGGCTTCTCGGCGACTTTCATCTATGGCTATGCGCTTCGGTTTGATCGATTCGATGGTGCAAGTGATTCGATCGACCTGCGGTTGAGGGCTGCATTTGGACATTGATGCTACGAGTGATGTTTTGGACAGCGGTACCGTTGGGCAATTTTGATCCTTCAGCTGCGACCTGCAGGCACCACTCATGCACGATATTCGTTCCAGCTCTTCGGCGGAGGCTTCGTGACGGTGCTCTTCTTCAGTCATCCAATGTTGCCTAACGCCTGTCCGACGCGCAGGTCCTGGGGAAGATTCCTCGCACCGGTGCCATCAGGCTCCTGCTCTCTTTCACGATTGTTCACGCCTTTGATGCAACGATACCATGCGGGCTCCTGTCCGGTTCTGACCTGTCCACGAGCCACCCAGCTGTGGGTCAGGGTCATCGCACCGCAGTGGTCAGTTCAGGGTTCGTGCGCGAGACACTCTGCGAGCACGCCACTGTTTCTTTGGGCTCGCATGTCCATGCTTTAGTGTTTAGCGGTGCAGCAGTGCGAAACGATTGCTAGTGGTAAGATACATGCAATGTGTATCATAGTGGCAAGCAGTCGGCTTGCTCGCTTTCAACCGTTCATAGATATATGCAATGTGTTGGCGTAGACCGAGTACCGTGCATCATGCTGAAGAACTATCCAGTACGCATTGCGTTCCAAGAGCTCCGTGGCAGGTCTTACGTGTATGGCGGCCACACGTTCAACTATTTGTTGGATAAGGATGGGACGCGAACCAGTTTTTGCTGCGCCCCATCTCGCCGCTCCCTCCTTCCCTCTTCCTTCTCCGCAGTCGTGTTGGTCGCGAGTGGTTTGAATTCTATGGAACTGCAGGATGCAGAATGCGGCATGATTGAACATATTGTGGCATGCGCAGCATGCATGAATGCAAGCTCAAGGCCTTTGTTGCTGTCTGTAGTGGTATGTAATGTCTGGGTGTTTGAAGCCGAGGGGCGGGTCGCAAGACGAGGGGGGGGGGGCGAGGGGGCTGCGAATGTCATAGCCGCCTGGAGAGCCGCTGCTCAATTCCAGCCAGGGGAGGGGGGGGGAATCAGGCATCCAATGTATGCGTTCTGGGACCACCATTGGGGAACAGCCGGTGGGAGGAGGGAGAGGAGGAAGAGGAGGAGGAGAAGGAGGAGGAGGAGGACACCAGAAACCAGAAACATTGGAAATGTAATGGACAGTTATAGTCTCGGCCTCTCGATAGCCTCCTGCAGAGCGCTTCTGAGGGGCTCTTGGTTGCGCCTTGGAGCAACTAATAATCTATCTTGCTTTCCTCTGTGGGTTTTCTTGGGCTGTCTGAGGAGCTTCCGAGATCCTTCGGGAGCCCCAGAGAAGTGTCGGGGCGCCAGGGGGCCTTGGGAAGAGGGGCAGATACACGCGACAATGCGTGGGGAGAGGGGGCGTTTCAATCGCTCCCGGCCCATGTTGTAGCATCGTTGGCATTTGCATGCATGTTCGCGGGGGCAGTTTTGGAGCCTCGTTGGGCCTCTTGGGGGCCATCATGGC